TAGAAACTATAAAATACACCTGGATTATACTCGGACTGCAGTCGCTGTTCTTGTAGCCACAGAAACAACAAGAACACGAAACGTTTTCTAAGTTTCTGTTTCTACAAACGTTGCTCTGAAAACTGAACGTAAACTCAAAACGTGTTTTCCTGCCACACGTGTTTCTTCTGCCACACGTGTTTTCCTGCCACACGTGTGGAGCGAGGTGGACCTTTCAGAGTAAAACAGGACGGAGACGGTTCTGCTACTGACGTTTCGTGGGTGCCAAAGAAGAAAATAGGATACTTGATGTTGGATGGTTTCACTGCACCATCGGGAACTTCATCGATCTGGAAAAGAAAGGAAGCAGATTAAAAAAATAATCTGTGTTTTTCCTGCATGTTTGCTGCAGTAAACTTTACTGTCGCTCAAATCCAGATGTTCGATCACAGCAGCCTTTACAGCTGGGCTGGATTTGCACTGTTGTGCACGTCTCCTGTTTAAAGTGAATGTACAAAAACGGCAACATTTCATCTAAAGCAAATTAAAGTCAGGTCCAGCGTGGCTGCAGGAGCGTCTGGAGATTTCCTGGTGGGCTGGTCTGATGTGTGGGCTGCAGGGCCAGCGCTCCCTGTTTATTTATTTTTAGATCTTTTTATTAACAACAGATAAACACAGAACACCGCTGCAGCTGAGGCTGCCAGCGCTCGCTCTTTTTCTTTTTTCCGACCTGTCAATCAATCCAGTAGGCGTGTCAGCAGATGACCAATCGGCGACCTCAATTTGTCCGGAAGGTGAACGCCCCCTTGTCAGTGACGCTGCCTTAAAGTGCAGTAAAGTTGAAATGTCTTTAAAACCCACAGCTGAATTTACACAGACCTGGTGCGAAACATGCTCTAAATGCGTGGAATTAAAGGAAATCTGCATGAAATGTTCTTTAAACAGGAGCCATTCGCATCGGCGCATGCGCAAATCCTGCCCCGCCGTAACGGTTGTTGTGAACGCGCAGTCGCGCACGCTGATTCGGTCGTTTCCGGTTTAGTCCGTGTTTTGTTTTTAATTCAGCTTCGCACTTACTCGGGCAGGCAAAGGAATAAATCAATAAAATAAAAGTAATTTTAAAAGACTTACTCGCGCAGGCCAGTGAGGATATCCCTTCATTTTGGCAAAAATCAGATCCCCGGGCTTCCAGTCTTCTCGAGCCATGATGACGCGCTGATGACAAAACAGTTAACGTGACGTTAGCTGGGCACGCGCGTCTGTGAAACACGTTAAAAGCGGGCACACGCTTCAGTTTTCCTAAAGTGAAAGTTCACGACGTTGAGCATCAGCAGACATTTTAGCTAGTCCCGCAGCTCAACAAGAGGACACACCAGCAGTTTCACTCAAACTTCATGTACAACTTGTGAAAAGGCAGAGAATAACAGGCGGTTTGGTAAATCCATCATTAATTTAGCACAACACACCTCTTCTTTCCGCACACTGAGCGTAGCACGTTTTTCCGCTCCCGCGCAGGACGTCGGACTGAACCATTCGGGCGGCAGAAAAGGGGGGTTGTTTTAAAAAAACATGCGCCCAGCATTCATAAAATTTAAAGAAAGCGATTAGAAGAAAAGCTTTAAGACACGACAGAGAACATGTCAAATACTTGGCAATTTACAGTCGATGTTTACGACGTCCGGATGAGCAACTGTTCGAGATGGGCTTGCCGCTTCAAAGATCGTGTATAAAAGAAGAGGGTTGTGTCTGAAAATAAATATAGAAAGCCTTAAGGCGAGCCGTTAGTGTATTTATTCGTGATCTTTGATTTCACGCGTCATTTTCATGTACAATTAACTACTTACCCCCCCCCCCCCAAAAAAAAAAAGCCTAGTTAGCCAAATGCACTTTTTAATTAACTTCTAGTTACCTAGTAGAGCAGAGTAAAAGCTTTGGTCACCAAGAGAGCAAAGCTAAGAGAAAGCTAATTACAGTAAGGTCATCACTTGACTAGTACCAAAACTTTTTGGAACTCTAGTTAACTAGTTGACCATTTTTAACTGCACAAGGACAAAAATGCATAAAGTGCATTGCATTTATTTTGTGTAGTTAACTTGTAAGGGTTTTTGATGCCTACTAGTTAACTTGTGCAACATTGTCAACTATTTTGGTGTTGTCCATTAATGCATTAAAAATCAGCCACTCAGCTAATGATGCGCCTCTAACCAAAGATGTTGACTAGTACGACTTCTGCTTCATCTAGATGGGCAAACACATCACTAGTTGCCAAAAAGTTTCAAGTGTTTTAAGTCTGTTGAACTAGTGCAACTAATTAATGCAACCTTTATTTCTACAGGTTAACCCAGTTGAGCCTCTGGGACTCATTTAGCGACCTGATTTTATCAGAGTGAGGACAAGAGTAGACAACAATAGACAATCATAAAGGATGTGTACACTTTGTTTAAACAAATGAAAATAAAATGGTAATTAAAAGAAAAAGTAATTAAAAAAACAGCTAGGTTGTAAGGAGGTGTAGAAAACTAAAAACAGAACATATCTGCATTGCAATGCAATTGCAGTTGTGCAAAAATAGTGCATGAGTGAATAAATTAATCTGTTCTTCTCCTGAACATTTCATTGCATTGCTGTACCGTATTGTTGACCTTGTGTTAACATGCATATGACAATAAACAAACAACATAAATGTGCAAACAGCTTGCCCTACGCAATATATAGCCCATCAGTATCTATGGAGACTGAAGAGGAAACAGGGTTAACACAGAAGAGTTAAAAACTATTGTCACACAAGACGGCTAAAAACTACTTCCTCTTTCACAAAGGTTTTATTTTTGCTGTTAAGAGTTAAACTAAAAAAGTAATTGTAGTAGTGTAAAAACAAAAACGGATTGGATTAGTTTTTAGTGACCTCTGGTGGACAAAAGGAGCATAGCAGCACATTTCAAACATCATGGCTCTTTGTGCTGCATCAATGATCTTATGGGTCAGGGTCAGGGAGTTATTTAGAATCAAGATGGACTTTCCTAAACATGACCTCTGAAGCTGCAGGCCATCTGTCAGAACCATCGACCTGAATATTCTCTATTTTTTTTCATTCAGCCTTTATTCAACCTTCTCCTGGCCTGGCTGGTCCTGGTCTGACTGGTCCTGGCCTGGTCCTGGCCTCGTGGCGTCTCTGGGTCTGATAAGAACCACCTCAGAAAGACACAGGGACCTCTGGCCCGCGGCGCCGACCTGGTGAGGATTTCACACGTGGCAACATGAATGCAGTTCTGGGTCCGGACAAAGGTTTTAGTCTGATGAACTTAATGAAACTGATCAACCTGTAAGACCAGATAGAACTTTATTGATCCTGCAAGAAAGTGTTGAACTAAAAACACTTAAATCCCAATCTGTCAATCAATCAGCTCAACTTGTTGTGTGTATAAAACAAATAAATTCTGTCTCAAGGATTCTTTCTGTTTTAGTGATCAATAATGAATTCATGATGGATGATTGGGTTATAGATTGTTAAACCATCAAGTCTAAATAGCTAATTAACAACCACATCTTCAAACTAGTTGTTTTCTGGATTCTTAGTCATTGTTATTTTTCTTTTAGATTTTTATTATTGTTGCAGATTTTTTAATGAATTATTTTTGTAATAAAATCAAAAGACTCACTTTATTCTTCTTTTGGGTAAAAATTAATTTGTTATAGTTTCCTGTAATTAACAAACTTCAGTGACTGAGTTGTGACAAAGAGGCTGACTAAATCAATGAGCCTGATTGATCAGTGATCTGACCTGCTGTCCCGATTTTAACCAGAGCAGAAATAAATTTAGTGAGACGACGAGAAAACATCAAATGTTGGAAGAAACGCCCGAGTCCCAACGACTAAACAACAAACTAGTTGTTCAATAACTTTAATACATCTGACCATCATCACAGTCAATTTACTGGATCCATCCATCCATCCATCCATCCATCCATCCATCCATCCATCCATTATCCATGCATCCATCCATTATCCATCCATCCATTATCCATCCATCCATCT